CTCCTGAAAGTGAGTCTTTATAGACGAACTGAAGAGAGTCTTTGTAGACAATTTGAAAGGAGTTTCTATAGACGAGTTGAAAGGAGTTTCTACACACGAGGTGAAGGCAGCCACTATAGACGAGCTGAATATTGCCTCTAAATGCAGGCTGAAGGGAATCTCATAATAAGAGAGATCTGAAAGGACTCTCTATAGACGAGATGAAGGAAGCCTTTATAGACCAACTCAAGGCAGTCTCTATAGACGAACAGAAAGGAGTCTCTATAGACGAGCTTACAGGAGTCTAGACGAGCTGAAGGAAATCTCTGTGGGCGAGCTGAAGGGAGTCTATGGACTAGCTGAAGGCGGCAACTAAAAACGAGCTGAATAGTGAGTCTTTATAGACGAGCTGAAATTAGTCTCAATAGACGAGCTAAAGGAAGCCTTTATGGACCATCTGAAGGCAGTCTCTATAGACGAGCTAATGGTATTAATCACAGATTAATTTATTTATTATTATTTCTTTTTTCTTTCCTCAGATCTCTTCCTTCTTTTCCATTCTTCTACCAAAAAACTCTTTCGTTTCTAATTTTGATTTATTTACCAGAAGAAAACAACGATTTTTATATCGAAAATAAAATTTGATAAGCATTTTAAAATTTCAAAAAATGTTGTCAATGATTTGTGTTTCCCAAAAAAAAGTGGAGAAAGGGTTAGAAAAAATATTTTGTAAATGATGAGTGTTTTGAGTTTAGGGCTTTGTGTTGTTTGGCCAATTATTAGAAAAAAACGCAAATTAATTTTATAGGTTAGGTAAGGCCAATTAAAGAATTTTTTTAAATTTTTTTTTTTCAATTTTTTTGTTTTCTCAATTCACTGCGTTTTTTCTTTTGTCCTCCCCTCTTCTTCTGGCCCCCACACATTACTAATAAGGGAGGTTGGTGTAAGCCTTTCGTGTTCGTGTTAAAACTAGTGGTAGTAGTGTACGTCGTCGTGACACATTGACGAAGAAGCTTACTCTTAAACGTTGTTTCTGGCTTAGGGCATTTGGAAATTGGGAACGTTCAAGTAAAGACTGTAAATAGTGGATGTTTTTTCGTTTTGATTTTTTTCGTATAACAATAATAAAGAAAAAATAATAACAGATTAGACAATAGAAGAAGACATATTACAAAAATAATATAACTAAATATAGAGAAAGCCAGCAGTTTACAGAACAATAAACAGCACTGAAGGGTTACAAAGTGAAGACTATTGCAATATATTGACTTATGATTTTCAAAAAAGGCAGGATAGGTTTAAGGAAATGATAGTAGGGAATATAGGCTTAGATGTTGTAAGAGAAAGAGTAAGAGAATGGGAGTGGTATTACTTACTTTTTGCCATGGATGACTTTTAATTTGTGGAAATTTGAATTCCGTATAATTGGGATTCATTTCACGAATTTGTTCTCGTGTAGGTGTGCCCAAAACTTTGATAACCTCAACCAATTGATCAACGCCCGAATCACCAGGGAATATGGGTTGGCCCAAAAGTAATTCAGCTAATACACAACCGGCGCTCCACACATCTGGAAAAAAATAGTCAATGAAATATTAATAAAAATAAACAAAATATTAAAAAATCGAATCAATAAAAATTATCAAATAAGGGAGGTTTTATAGAAGAGCTGTAGGAAGACTTAATAGATCAAATGAAGTGGACCTTTATAGACCAGCTAGGGAGCCTTCATAGACTAATGGAGGTATTTAAAAGCGAGCTGAAGGTGGTCTTTATAGAGGATCTGTAAGGAGTATTTATTGATTAGATGAAGACGATTTTTACCAACAGAAGGTGATCATTACTGATTAGCTGAAGACGATTTGATGGGACGAATATATTACAAGGATTCTTTATAGACTTTAGAGTGTCTTTATAGATTATAGAGGGTATTCAAGACCAGCTAAAGGCGGCGTCTGAAGGGCGCCATTATAGACGACTGAAGTGCGTCTTTATTGAAGAACTAAAGTGAGTCTTTATAGATGAGCTGAAGGGAGTCTTTATAGAAGAACTGAAGGTAGTCTTTATAGACGAACTGAAGGTAGTCTTATAGACGAGCTGAAGGGAGTCTTATAGACGAGCTGAAGGGGGTTCTACCAATATTTTTTGCTTTAATTGACTATATTTATAGGACATCTGTAGGCCAACTGAAGGTGTTTTTTTGTTTTTTCAACCTGAAGTCGCTCTTTATAAATAAACTTATGGCTTTCTGTATTGATAAATTTAAGCCGTTCTATATAGACCAGTTAAAGGCGGATTTTATAGACCAACCGAAGGCAGCATTTATAGGTCTCCCAAAGGTTTTTTTTGTATGCCATGTGAAGGTGGTATTTATCGACCAGTTGATGGCAGTGTATGATGCCGGTTTTAATAGACTCGCTGATAGCGGTCTTAATAAAATGATGAAGTAGGTCTTTATAGCGGTATTTATGGACCTACTGAAGATCACATTTATAGACAAATTGAAATCTCTTTTTACAGACCAGCTGATGACGGTTTTATAGGTCACCTGATGTGGGTCTTAATGGACCAGTTGGTGTCGGTCTTTATTGACCAGATGATGGCAGTCTTTAAAGCCAGATGAAGGGTGTATTAGTAGACCAGCTTTAGGTGGTCTTGATAAAGCAAGTAAAGGGTGTATTAATAGACCAACTGAAGTTGATGAAATTATAGATGGGAGGAAGGACAGACAGTATTAAGATTCGCAAGTGTACAATAATAGCCCACTTTGTTAATTTTATGAAGACTAATAAGTCGCTTAAATGTTGGAACAAATTATTTGTATTTATTATTATTCATTTTGAGTCACCATTATACTTTTGTATTAATTGTCAATTTCATATTCCTCCCTTACTTACCAATTTTTGTGGTATAATTTATAGCGCCAAATATCAATTCGGGTGCACGATAGTATCGTGAACATATATATGATACATTCGGTTCGCCATGCAACAATTGTTTAGCACTGCCAAAATCGCATAATTTCAATACAGCGGTCTCTGGATCCAATAATAAATTTTGTGGTTTAATATCACGATGACAAATACCCAATGAATGTATGTAAGCCAAACTTCTGAATAGTTGATACATGTAAAGCTAAAAGGGAAAACAAAAAAAATATATATACATTAATTAAAATTATATTTAAAATATAAAAATACTCGATTTACTTACCCTTATAAAGTTAATGGGTATTGTTTGCTTAGTTTTAGCATATTGACGCGCCACTTTATAAACCGTTTCTGGTATATATTCGAGTACTAAATTCAAGAACACTTCATCGCGCTATAAGGAAAAAAGAGAAAACAAGGAACAAATATTGAAATTAGTAACATTTTTGAAAGAATTTTAAAATATATATGAAAACAGAAAAATAATGAATATGAATTTATTTTATTTAATAAAAATATATAAAATAAAATAGGAAATTTAAAAACATTTATTTTGCATGCCAATAGCTTCATTAAATATAGCAATATATTTTTTTGTTAACAAATAATGAAGGCTTCAATGTTTGGTGTTTTTAATGTTTTTTAAGGATGCTAAAATCCTTCTGCATTTTAAAATGTTAATTTATAGGCTGCCTAAATCATTTTATTTTTTGAAATTTTATTTTATAGGCTGCTCAGATCCTTCTGTGTTTTTGAAGGATGAGCAGCCTTCTGATCCTTATTAAAAGAAGAGTTTTTAAACAACAAAAATTAATTGCCTACTTTTAGGCTCTCAAAAAAAACATAAGAATTTTAAGAGGAAAAGACTTCTTAAGGATTTTTTTTTATTAATATGTATAGCCGGTATAGAGAATGTCTTTAAAGACAAACCGATGGAATCATGATGGACAAGCTGATGAGAGTCTTTATAGACGAGCTTAGAGGAGTATTTATAGGTGAATGAAGAGCAATTTTTACAGACGGCGCGAGATTAGTATTTTTCGACGAGCTTAGTCTTTATATACGAACGGATGTGAATCTTTATAGACAAACCGAGGCAATTATTATGGACCAGCTGAAGAGAGTCTATAGACCAGCTTAGATTGGTATCAATTGACGAATCGAGGGAAGTATTTAAATACGAGCCCAGATTACTATTTTTAGAAGAATTGAAGTGATTATCTATAGACGAACTGAAGGTTTAGATGTAGACGAGTTGAGTGGAGTGCTTACAGTATTTGAAGACAAGTTGAAGGGAGTCATTAAAAACGAGCTGAATGGTGTATTTATAGACGAATTAAAGGAAGTCTTTATAGATAATCCGACAAATCATACGAGGGCCTAGGCGAGTCTTTATAGATCAGCGGTTGGCTTTATTTATAGACCACATGTAGGTGATTTTTAAGGACCATCTGGAGGGTGTCTTTTTAGAATATGAAAGCGGTCTTTATCAACCACCTGAAAACAGACAATTTGATGGCGGTGTTTATAGACCAACTGAAGCTGTTCTATATAGAAAAGTTAAAAGCGGATTTTATAGACCAACTGAAGGCATTCTTTATAGGCTACCTAAAGGTTTTATTTGTATTCCAGTTATAGACCAGCTGATGACAATGTATATAGGCCAGATGATGGCGGTTTTTGTCGACCAGCTGATAGTGGACTTAATAAACTAGATGAAGCAGGTCTTTGTGGTCTTTATAGATAAACTGCTGTCGGCCTTTATAGACCAATTGAAGCCGTTCTATATAGACTAGTTAAAAGCGAATTTTATAGAACAACTTAAAGGTTTTATTTGAATTCCAGGTTAAGGCTGTCTTTATAGACCAGTCTGATGACGATCTTAACAAACTATACGCATGCTGAACATCTTTTTTATAGACCACCTGAAATGAAACCTTTCTTAATAGACCAGGCGAAGAGAACAGCTTAAGACGGTATTTATATATCTACTGCAGATCGTTTTTATAGACCATCTGATCGCAGTCTTTATGGACCAGCTGATGCCAGTCTTTATAGCTAGATGACCAATTTAAGGTGGTCTTTATAAATCAGGTGAAGGGCGTACCAATTTATAGATGAGATGATGATTTTATAGACCAATTTAGATTTTATTTCATAGACCAGCTGATGGTACTCTTTATAGCCAGACGACCAGCTTAAGATGGTCTTTATAAAGCAGATGAAGGACAGTGTGGTGTAGATTCGCCAGTCTACAAAAATAGAGATTTTCCTATTCTTCTTCTTTATCATAATTTTAAAGAGGCATTGTTGGTATTTTAAGGTTAGTTTGGATATGTCTGGTTATTCCCATTACAGGACGTGATCTTTATATAGAAGAATATAGTGTGGACTCTGTAAAAAAAAGACGCCTAGGATTTCTTTGAGAATACACTTCTTTCTCTAAAAAAATGTAATACAAACGGATTTCTTTATAAAAGTAATGGCCTTCCAAGGCCCTATAAGAATTCTGTGGGTATACCCTGTGAAGGGCGTCTTTAGAAGATAAACTAGGCAGTATTTTGTGTTGAAAATGTTTCCCTTTCTATGAAAGAAAGGGGAATTCCTTATAATTGTTCTTTGAGAAAAATTGTCCTCTAAGACCCACTTAGAATGTTCTTATGAAGTGTGATCTCTATAAAAGATAAATCAGTCTAGTTTAAGAATAATATGTTTGGTCTTTTGTACGGAAATATGGTTTTTATTCTTATAATAAACCAAGTGATTCTGATTTGCGAAATATTCTCCCTCTTCATTTCCCTTTCTTATTTCTCCCTCTATAAGAGGGCCTTTGTGGCTATTATAGGTCATAAGAAAAACAACATGCTTAGTAAAGTGTTGAAACATGCTAACAAGGGCGGAGCTATAAAAAAATAAAATAAGAAAAAAAGGAACATAGGATTTTTTTTTTTAAAAATAATAATTCAAAATGGTAGCATTTTTTTAATGATGACGACAATGATCCCATAAATTTCAATTTTTTTTTCAATTTACTACATATAAAACTGTGTGTGATTGACTTCCGCAATGTAATGAATAATTAAAAAAGGAATGATTTGAAATAAGATTAAAAAATAAGCCATTTACAGGATATAAAAAAAAACGAAAAAGAAAACAAAGTAATGCTCAGATGCTGTTGCGGTGAAGGAATTGAGTTCTTAGACACTTTGTCACTGGCATACTCTCTAAACGAACGACACAACAACAAATATTTGATTAATTTGATTTTTTTTGGAGGAGCAATATACACAGAATTAAAGGAAGTTTTTTTTGTTTGGTATGAAAACGGAAACGTTTTGAGTTTGGAATTATTTCCATTGGTGATGATTGGTTTGAAAATTTGATGAGTTTTTTTTTGGGAATTGATATTGGTGTGAATGTGATTGTTTGTTGTTTTTACTTATGTTAATAAGTAATGGCTTTATAGCTACCTGAGGTTTTAGAACCGAAGCTAATATTCCCACATCAATGGGAAATTCCGCTAACTTTGTATTTTTTTATTTTTTGGGGGGAAGTTTTTTTATACGGAAATTTTGTTTTTTGATTTGTAAGCAATGGGGATTGTGTTAATTTTTTGTTTGAACATTTTTACAAAACAATTTCATCACATTTGTATTTTAGTTGTTGATTTATTTTTTGCATTAAAGATGTTGGTGTTGGGTGTTTGAGCACACACACAGACACGTATATATATATAGGACGCGTTGTTTACAAATCATGTTAATTTGTTGATAATTTTTGTGGTTAATACATATAAATTAGAAAAAAATTAAAAAAAAAAACAAATATTAAACACAAAATTTACAGAAAAGAAACAAAAGGTAAAAGAGACAATAAAAAAAGGCGACAAGAGGATTTGTATTTTTTGGAAAATGTGAATGAAAAAACAAAAATTGAAAACGAAATCTTCTTCAATGTCCCCCAGTATTTTTCTGTTGCAAGTTCTTTTTAAGGAATATGGGAAAAAATAGTGGGAAACTAAGAACCTATTTAAAAAAAATGTAAAGAAACCAAAAAATGTAAGTTATCAAACAAAAGCATGCTAAGACAATATTTTGTTCATCTTGTGGATCTGCTTTTTCATCAACATCAGACGAACAAAAAAACAACGGACATTTCTCTTCTTTTTTTGTTGATGAATTGGTTGTTTGTTAGGGGGGTTAATTGGTTGTGTTGTGTAGCCATACAATAAATTTGTATATATCTAAGAGAAAAAACACAACAAAGGAAAATATTTGAGCTGCAAACCTACCTTTTCACCACTCGAATAGAAGAAATACAAAAGTTTTACAATATTACAATGTTCCAATTTGCGCATAATTTGCAATTCACGATTCTGCAAAGAAACAACAAAACAAATGAAATTAGTTTTTCATAATAAATTTAAAAAATACCAGCCCTTACCTTAAATCGTCTGTCTTGTAAAACTTTTTTAATTGCCACCAGTTCACCGGTATCGCATAATTTGGCCTGAAAGACAACGCCAAAACTACCATTGCCAATCACCTTTGTATCTGTGTAGGAAACTTCTTGTACACGATCGGTACCTTGGCCCGGAGTGGCAACAACTGTGGTAATTTTGGAACCATCTCTGCCTGTTAGGGTGCAAAAGAAGGAAAAGAATTTTGAGTTTAGTATTTTATTTATATATATATATTTTTTTTTTTTTGATTTTTTCAATGCTATACCCTGAAAAAGAAAATATTTTTGTTGTTGTTGTTCTTGTTGGCTGTGTAAAATGTAGAAAATAATTTGTTTATTTTAATATATTTAATTTCAATTATATATTTGGTACTTTATTTACTCCCAATTCTAAGGAAATGAGGGAGAACATAAAAACCATTGCCTACTTTTAGGCAAAATAATTTAAAATTAAGAAATTGTAATAAAAATTGAAAAGAAGGATAAATGTGGTCTAGTCGAACAATTTTAATAATAATACCGCCCACAAAAAACAAAAAAACTGAGGACTGCATCATAGCCTAGGGATGTGAATTGAAAATATATTTTTTTTATAAGATTTTAAGCTTGAGATGTTAGAAGAAGAAAAAAAAGAAAATTTATTAGGTATTTTTATTATATTTTAATACAAAAAACATTGACTACTTTTAGGCAAAATAATTTATATTATCATAATCTTAGAAAAATATTATGTGTTTATTTTCTATTAAAAAAAAACATTGCATACTTTTAGGATCAAATTCTAACTATCTTATTTTATAATAATAGTAATATTGACGACCACATAGCTCTTGGGTCGCTTTGAAGAGCATCATTTTGATTTATTTGAAAATTGAGATGGTAGAATGAAGTCAGAATCATCAATTGAGAAGATTTATTATATTTTTAATTCCCATTTTTTCAATTTTTTTTTTTTTTTTGATTAAAAAAATAGAAAACTTACAAACATTTTTTTTATTAAACTTTTAAATATAATAATTATATGGGAATATTTGGTGCATAAAAATCTGGACTAGAAGAGTTAAAGAGTTAAAAATTCTTACAATTGTTTAAGTCGGATATTGGGGAAAATAAATATATATATAACGACTTAATTTGAAAAAAAAAACTGTTTCAGTTCCAACAGAACTAAAAGCGTTTATTGCAAAAAAAAAAAAAAAAAAAAATATTAGAACCCATTCCATTTTTGGAAAAGACTTAGAACCTCTATTCTAAGCTGAATATTTTTAATTTATTGCCTATTATTAGGCAAATCAGCTGTTACACCAGTCAGCTGTTTTTAAATCAAATAAAATCTCTAAGTTAAACTTCAAATTCGATTTGAATCGCCCGCTTAAATTTCTTAAAAAGATTTTGAGTGTCTAGATAACATTTCGAATATCATTGCCTACATTTAGGAGACAAATATTAGCAGACATCAGCTGATCAGCTATAAAATTACAGGGAAATAATATTTTTCAAATGTATTAATTGAGAGATCTAGAGCTGCAACTCCCATTTGAATCAACCAATTGAGTTTCTTAAAAAAGGTTTTGAGTGTCTAGATTAAATTTCAAATATAATTGCCTGCATTTAGGAAACAAAATATGATCAGCTGATCAGATATAAAATTTTTTTGGCAAATAATATTTTTCAAATGGGATTTGCGTGTCTTGATCTCTTGATTAAAAGCTGCAACTTCCATTTGAATCACCCACTTGAGTTTCCTAATATGGTTTTAAGTATCTAGATTAAATTTCAGATATCATTGCCTACATTAAGGATAAAAACATTAGTAAAATATTAAAATCAGCTGATATGCTATAAAATTATAGAAAAATAATATTTTTCAATATTTTAAGTGGTTTAACAAAGTTAAATATGATAAATAATAAAAAAAAATATAACTATACTAGGCTAGCTATTTATATTTCGGCTTCAAAATCAAAAAAAAAAAAAAAAAAAAAACTACTAAATCTGTTTAATTTTATTTTCTTTTTTAATTTTCAGGAATTATCTGTTTTGTACTAAAAAATCAAGGATGGCAAAAAATTACCAGAAGAGCGGTTATTTATATTTTGGCTTTAGCACCAACATTCATCATTCTGATTCATTGGGTTTCTCGTAGGCACAATTAATTTAAAATTATAGTGCCTAATTTCAGGCTGTAAAGACTTCAGCTGATTGATAAGAAGTTTTGAAAATATTAATATTTCAAGTAGATTGAATTTTTCGAGACCAAAATTTACTAAAGTAACTAATTATATTTCGGCACCATATTTCCCCATCAGCTGATTTTCATTTTATTATTTTTTTTTTTTTAATTGCAGAAAACTTTCCCCTTAGGACAAAAAAAGAACTACGACAAAGAAAATGATTACGATGGCAGCTAATTATATTTTAGCGTTAACACCATTCACACAATTAGGAAATATTGGTAATTTTAATATTTTAAGTGGTTTTTATTTTTTTGATACCAAAATCACTACGGTAACTAGATATATTTTGGCACCATATTACCCTTAGGCACAACAGCTGATTTTTATTTTATTATTATTTTAATTATAGAGCCCAAAGTTTACGAGGACTTCAAACACACGTTTTATCCGTTATTAATGAGCCATATTAGCTGATTTTTATTTAATTTATTTTACCTTTTTTAGCTATGCAGGAAATTAACATTTTTCTATTTTTTTATTATTTTTCTACCGTTCCCACATTGGTTTTTAAGGGTCACAATTAATTTTAAATTATGGTGCCTACATTTAGGGTATATGAAACAGAAATCACCTGATGAGTAGAAAAAAATGATATTTTAATATTTCTCGGCTTTTTATCTTCATAGTTCGGGTCCAAGATTACACAAATTTTTTGGATGAAGTATTCTGCTGCTACAATTACTTTCCAGTTCTATTGCATACTTTTAGGCAACATAATGTAAACAGAAATCAGCTGATCTGAGCAAAACTTAAAAATTCAAATGAAATTAAAACAAATGAAACCGTGGTTAAAGTTGATCGGACTTCAACTTTTCTGCCCTCCACCATTCAAAAAATAATAATAATAAAATAAATAAATAGAAATTATCGGATCTTTAATATTGAGGTTATGGTAGGACTTTTTGACATCCAATAAAACCCCTAAAATAGCCAATATGGCTGAAAAACGCGCCCAAAATACCGAATAAAGTTAAGCCAATATTTATAGTTTTTGGAAGGTGGATTCTCTACCCAATGACAATTCGAAAGTAATAATATTTGGTAGGAGATTTTATATTTTTATAAAAAAATACACCCAATTCGGATGAGAAACGTGGATATACTACCCAATATACCGAATATTTAGGGGTACTGTTATATGGGGGCTATAACAACCTTTGCCGCTATCCAAAAAAGTGGATCAATAGTAAAAATTGTTGGTAGAAAGATGTGTCACCCAAACTAAATTACAACCAAGTAGGTAGAAATATGGGTCCATGATCCCCAAAATATCGAATATTTTGTGGCACCATAATGTGGCGACTACCCTTAAAAGTGGACCAATAGTAAAAATTTGTCGTTGGAAGATATTTTACACTAGGAGAATCCAAAATACAGCAAATTCGCTTTAAAAAGTTCGCCTAATTATGAATATTTTGGGTTAGCGGGGCTATTCCAAAATGCGTACCAACATATTTTCATTTTCAATATCCAATATCCAGGAAGTATTACACAATATTTTTGCAAAAGTTCAATACTCTATCTGAAATATTGCAAACTAGATTGAGATTTCCCAAAATTGTCGTCATAAAGTTGTAATTTGTTGCCTATATTTAGGCAAATCAGCTGTTATACCCAGTCAGCTGTTATGCGACCAAGATTTTCAAATTGATTGTTGTTGTTCCAAAATTACTTTTTTGGTTTGTTGTTTTTCATAATGAATTTCATTAAATATTTAATTTCATTAAATATTTACCTTCAACTTCTTCCACACCCTGGATTTTCTCTTTTGTCTTGTCGATTTCCTTTGGAATGGAAAGGGCCACACTATGTTCGGGCCATAAATCATTTAGTTTGCCAATTAATTGTTTCATGCCTAAGATGAATTCAAATATTAAATTGATTTCCGAACACATGGCGAATGCGATTCAAAAATTAAAAAAAAAAAAAAAAAACGTCAAAGGAACCCGACGACCGTGGAGAATTACAAAAATTTGAGAAAGCACTTAAATTATTAACACAAAAGACAAATTTGAAAAATAATTTTCAACAAACAAAAAATTGAAATTTGTTTAACTCATTGTTTAATTCGAATAATTAAGCAATAGAGAAGAAATAAAACAACAATTTTTTGTTTTGAAAATAATGCCAAGAATTGTAGATAAATAATTGTTTTTACCTCGTCTTCAAAGAGAACAAAAGAAAAATAAAAATTATGCGATAAGTGGAAATAAAGGAAAGGAGGAGAATGCATCAGAAATGGATTAGGGGGTATTTAAACTCTTATCGCAAAATAATTATTGTTATATTTTTTCAAACGGGAACAAAGCCCACAAAACGAAGTAATTCTAAATAATTGATAACAAATAATAACAATAATGCAGGTCAAAAATTCTTCTCTTTATAATTGATAATAAATGAGAGATTTGACATATTTATTTTGTGTAATTAAATTTTGTCGTAAGCAAAATGCACTTCGTTGAGGAGACACAATGACATTTTCGTTTATTGGATTTTCTTTTGTTTTTTTTTTTTTTTCATTTTTATATCCCCCCATCTTCTTTAACATTTTTTCTCTAGCACAGACAGGTGTTCAAAGTTAAAGTGAATTTGAAAAAAAAAAAAACTGTATATAACAGTTTTCTATTTCCCATGATGCGATGGCAACAAGTTGAAGAGGGAAAATAGAATCTGATGAACTATTTTTTTCTTCTACTTCTCTGATTTTAGGAAATTAATTATAATTAAAATTGGCATAAACAATTTTTGTATAAAAAATACGTTTGCATTTTTTTTAGAAAATTAAAAAAAAACGATTTGGCTAAAATCATTGTTTTCATTGTCTGACTTTTTGGCTAGATGAAGGGGCGTGTAGTGCTATTTTAAAATCAGAATTTTCGCTTTGTTTTGACGTTCACGATTTTAGAATATCCTATACTATATTATACAAAGTAATA